TGACAAGTATCACACAAATCAGTCCTGGGACTCATAATTTGAATCTCTGGTGTCAATTGATGTCATAATTTTCTGAAAGCATCATATTTTAAGGATTTCAAATTACTATCTTCTTCTAGACCAGCTAGAAAATTTCTATGTACTGATTTATAACTCATTTCTGCTGGTAAGAATACAATTGATTGAGTTATTCTATTGTTACTTCTTCCTGGACTTGGTAATCCATGGACTTCTGCAATATTTTCTAGAAAATTCTTTACCACTCCAGCAATATTTTTATCAATCACCATTTTGGTTTTCCATAGAGGCATTCTTTTAATATTACTATGAATTCTTGGTAAAATACCATTGTTTATCAGATGATTTCTAATATTTCAAAGTAAGTCCTGCCAATTCCTAGCATATTGAGATACCCTATAAAAAATTGACATGGAAATGTATGGGAAATGTATGGGAAAATTACAGGCAAATCCCTTGAAAATGTATGGAAAATGTATGGAAATGCAAGGAAAATGCGCCTTTCATACATTTTCTGTACATTTTCAAGGGATTTTCCTGTATTTTTCTGTACAAAAATGCATGGAATTTTACCTGAATTTGCATTTTTCCATACAAATTCCATGCCAGATTTTTTATAGGGATAAGTTTCTTGACAAAGTAATGTATTGTGATTTCAGTGATAGAAAGTCCTTTTATTAGATCTAGTTTTCTTTTTAAGGCATCTGCTAGTGCTTGTTAATCCACCATCCATTGCCTTAAGTTGAGCCATTAAAAAGATGTCTTGTTCTGATTTAGAAAGAGCTCAAAAGGATTCCCTTAATTCTGCAAAATTTTCCTTAGGAATTTTTGAAGAACAACCACAATTACATCCTTTTTCTAAAAAATCAATTGTATTTTCATATTCATTAGAACCATTATATTTATTATTACTTTTCATATACACTTATCCCTATATATAATTTTGGTTTATTCAAATTATTCACTTTATTTGTTATGAATTTGAGTATTTGAATTACATTGAAAGTTTATTCGAATAAATTTTAATTTGAATAAAACGAATAATTTGAATAAGAAAATTGATTCGAATAAAGAAATTAATTTGAATAAGAAAATTGATTCAATTAAGGAAATTAATTCGAATAAGGAAATTAATATTAATATTAATATTAATTTGAATAAAGCAAATAATTCAAAAAAATTAATTCGGATAAAACAAATAACTAAGGACCAGTTTAAATACAAGCTCATTGGAAAGATTGCTATTTATTAAAAGAAACATGAATCTTGTTTCAGTCTTTCCTTATTAGTTTCATTTTTAATTTCAATTTTTATAATAATAAGATCAATATTAAACCTTGTTGTATATATAGTTTGAATATTTAAGTAATTGAACAACCCATGATTCCAAATAATCTAATAAATGAATGAACAAACCCATGATTCCGATAATGAATAAAACAAATAAAACAAATAATTTGAATAAAGCGAATTAAATTTTTAATTCGAATAAACTTTTAAATTCAAATAAACTTTTTAATATTAATATTAATTCGAATTAAATTTTTTAATTCGAATAAATTTTTTTAATTCGAATTAAAGGTCAACTGTATTACGAATAATTCGAATAAGAATTTGTATTACGAATAGAAACCCTACTTAATAGTCTAATGATTGCACGAGATATGAATTTAGAGTGCGAGATTTTTTATATAATGGCATATAATAAAAGTAAGAGAATTATGACTTTATCGATTATCAAGATTTTATCATGGTTATGAAATTTCGAATAGAGTTTTAATATAATAATAACTGGCATTGGTTCCTGAAAAATCATGAATTTTGAATTTATCGAATATAATATGGTACAGTCAAAGCTCGTTAAATTCATTTTTTTCGTTTAACATGAATCATTCGTAAAATAATCGTTGCTTGCCATCAGAATTATAAAGTCCCATTTAATCGCCTTGTAAGAGTAATAGTCCAAGAAATTTGACATTTAAATCTGGTACAATAAATCATCAAGAGGTACTGTTTTTTATATATATATATATGATAAAATATCAATAATCAACTCCTGATGTTTAAAATAGCCGGCATTTATTTAGATGTGAATCAACCTCAACATGAAAGAGAAACCTGATAGGTATTTTATTAATATTATTGAGATGTTGACAAAAAAAAATTTTTATCGAGTTTACAATGAATCTATATAAAGTATATAAAAAATAAAATTTTTTTGATTTACATGCAAGCAAAAAAATAACTTGAAAGTTTGTTGCACTAAAATAACAATTCCATGAGAAAAACATTGTTTACTTTTATTCAAAACCTGTTTTTACAAAGAAAAACAAAAAATAAATTCGTCTTAATATTATTGATTAACTATTTTGGTATAGCTTCATCGTTAATTAACCATTCAAAACAGTCCGCGATACATAACTGGATTAAGGTAATACTGCATACTAATTTGAAAGTCACGAGCGAGTGAGCAATCTTTAAAACATAATTGAAAAACTTACATATAGGATTACATGTATACGAAAAATAATAATAAATATAATTGTTTTCAAAAACGTTACGAAAAAATAAATTTTCTCGAGGCAGGTTGCGGTTTCCTCAACAATGGTTCCAAGAACGAGTTTACCAAACTACGTGGAGTCTTTCGAGAACTTTCTAAAATAGAACGATATATCTTCCTAATGGGTCTATTTCTAATAAATAGATAGTGGTGGCAATAAGCATGAACAGACGCCTCGAAAAAAAACCTCGTGTCAACAAGAGAACCGTTTATTGTTAAGGCCATAATACGCCTCTTTGCCAAGAAACATGCTGGGGTCATTTAGAAACCATTTAACAAATAATATTCTTATACTAAAGAGTTCATGGTAGTTAATATTAAAAAATTCCACAATGAAAAACCAAAGATTATGATTGATAAAAATGTTGCTGGGGCGGTAAATAATTTTCTGGCGCATATATCCTTACCAGCAAAAACGAGCTATAGATTAATAGAGAATATTTTGCTAGTCTCGAGGATAGCATTTCAAAGTCTATGACTTTCACAAATTACGACATCAAATTAACTCCTCAGTCTCAAATTATGAGCCCAAGGACAGGTTTAATATGATACTTGTCAACAACATTCTTCGTAATAGCTTACATTACAATGCTCGCAAGGAGAAATAATTGACAAGTTAGAAGAAAACTAGTTGCTCAGAATTATTCAATGGTAAAAGGTAAGATAGAATATTATAAAATTGTCGCTACTACTCATCACAGTTATGATTGAGCCCAGAATGTTCGTGTGTTGCATTCTGATCAACAGGTAATAGTTGAAAGGCCCATATTATTTGGTATTCACGATAAAGCAACAAGAGAACATATCAACTATGTTCTTGATGAAGTTAAAATTATAGGAAAGGGTCCTGATGGCAGTACACCTAGTATAACTTTGATGAAATAAAGAAATTAAATAGAGGTACGTAAAAAGCATTTTATGTAATGCTGGTAGCCAAAATAAAAACAATCAAACTATTTATATTTGGTAAAATGAAAATACTGAATTAAATTTATGATACCAAATTCGATGTGGTGATAGTTTTGGACTGGTCAAAAAACTTTATAGAAAGACAACTGTAGATTGTGTGTATCATGGTTCAGATGTCGTAAAAATGTCTAGTGCTGATGGGATTGAATAAAATACAATGCTATGATGCTGGAAAAAGTTTTCAATATCTTGATGTTCAAAAAAGGTTGGTTTGATAGATAGTATTTAAAAAATATTAGCATTTCTTTTACAGCTTTTAATCGTGGTGTAGTGAAAGTTCAGAGAATGCTAATGGCTCATTTCATATTGAAAACCAAGAAACAAGGACTTCCCAAGTAATAGAAAATATCAAAGACTTATCACTTTCCATGTTGACATCTACTATTTTGGATTACAAACATAAATAATATCTTTACAATAATATTACCAATTTGTGAAAAGTGGATTTAAAGATATTTATTTACTTTTCCTAAACCAGAACAAAATACTGACAACTAACTTGGAGGAACTCTGATGATTAATCATTTCTCCTCCATCATTCTTTTTTCTTGGTAAGTTTCATAATATTTTCATTCCTTAGTATCAACTAATTTAAAACATAAAGGACAATTTTCTGACTTTGTTCTTTTTAAAAATACTTCTAATAGTGCTGTAATTCTTGGATTTTTATTCATATTTATTTTTAGTATAGGAATCATCCTATGTATAAGAAGCAGAAACAAATCGAAGAGAGAAAATAGTCCCTTATCTGGGTTTATGGATACTCTTGAATCAATTTCTATAAATTAATTAGACAAGTGTGGCGTTGAAGAAGTTTGAACACCGAAATTTCTTTGTGACCTCATAATGTTATTATTATTTGCACGAACATTTTTTAAACAATTATTTAAAAGTTCAAGAAGGATTAGTAATTCAAAATGATTGTATAATCTTATGAGTGATTACTCCACAATGTAAAGAATCAGTGACATCTATAATATTGTAGGTTAGTCTTTACTTTTCATCATCATCATTGTATTTTCGTGAAACTTGTAAAGGTATATAAAGACTTTGAGACATTAGGATTGAAATAAATTTTTGTTATAACTTGATTAACTTAATCAACAACACACACAATAAAATAATTTATGAATAATCCTAATAATATTGAGTTCGCGTTACATTATTTATCTATTTTTCATAATCATCTATTACAAATCTAAGAAATTTTGTTTATGATATTCTGGAGCTTTTATAATTGAAAAATTTTAAAACCTGAATGATTCAGATTTAGCATCGCTGGCTCTCTGTACAATAAAACTATCACCATTATTACACACTATTAATGTTTTCAAAGTAAACAAAGATTTTTTTTTATTTATAGAAAATTTTCTTTTATTGATATTGATAATCATAACATGATAAGAGAATGAATGTAAAAAGAAATCTTGTTATAAGTTGTAGTGTAAATAGTAAGAAATAGTAAATAATAAAGAATAGTAAATAGGTAAATAATAATATAGTACATAGTAATATATTATAGTACATAGATATATATGTCTTATTTAGTTATTTAGTAATTTGTTAAATTATAATAATAAAAAGAAATACATTAATAATAATCATAATTAATTCATTAATCATTCGGAAAATCAGATTTTAACACCTAACAGAAAAACAAGTTTAATCTTCAATATAAATTCAAATTTCCTAAACTTCCTTCCATAGAATCCTATGCCAGAAGAAAACTTAATGCTGAGTTCGAAAGTATATATCACCATTATTTAAAAATCAGATTTGTATTTCCAGTAATTTATCGAATTTACGGTAACAATAAAAGGATCTTTAAATCTTTAAAAAAGACTATCTTGAAAAAACCTGAACTGTGAACTCTAAATTCTCCTAATTCACAAAAAGGAAAAATATGATATAATGAAGTGGAAAGAATATAATAAAATAAATAGTATAAAAATAAATTATAATAATGGTTAATAATAATAATATTGGATAAGTTAAGATTATAAAAACTTCCAAAATATATAATAAAAAAGTAATAATGAATCATAGTGAATCATAGATGTTGAGATAATAATGAAAGAAAATAGAATAGAGCTGATAACTCCATTACAAAGAATCGTGTCTTCTCTCGTGGGATTCCCATTTAATATGAATCTCTCCTTCCCTCTCGCAGTGAATCATCCTTAAACACGCTTGAGTAATGGGTCCACCCCATAAAGTGGTGATATTCGCTGCATCACCCGTTTTGCCGTTTTGAACAACACTGGCTGAAGGACTAAAATATGTCGTCTCGACAAGACTTTCATTTTTGTTAAAATGAACCAAAGCGTCTCTTGCATGAATACAAGGTGCAATAAGCGATTCCAAGTTATATTGCTTAATAAGCTGAACAATTCTCTCTAAAACAGAAGAATCTTTAACTATTTCATCAAGCGTCTTTTTGACGTGTGAGTCTCTTGAATATTCGTAGACATAGTATTTATCTTTTTCGATCAGCCAGCTTGCAGGGTAAGTCTTTTCATCCACGAAACTGGCTGAAGTGATAAACGCAGGCCTATTATTAAAATGACAAAATTCTTCTATCATCGCCTTCCCTTCTTCTTCTATAGATATATGTCTGTGAATAAGACGAAGTCCCAACTCGATTTTATTTTCTTTTGTCAGAGCATAGACTTTTTGGAGAAGCTCTCCGAATTTTTGGCATTGATTCAGATTTCGATCAGCTTCTTCGACTTCTTGTAAATTGTTGTACTTCCTAAAGTCGAATTTATTCAGGTCTTCGAGGGTCAAAGAATATGAGTTTTCAACATGTGTACCCATTTAGGAGGATTTTTTAAACCCTTGATGATGAAAATTCGAACCTGAATATAAATTTTTTAAACCCATATTAATTAGTGATTATTATTTTTATTATTACAAAAGCAAGTATGATAAGATTATAATAAAGTTTTTATATGAATTTCGCATTGCAAATATCTTGATATCATTTAACCTGTTTTGTCTTTATAATGAACTTCTTTATATTTCGCTTTGCAAAGAATTTTCCTATTTTGTATTTATAAACTTAAATATCATAAGACACAGGCGTATTACGATGATAATGTGGATAAGATGATAGATTTTTTTCACTTTATAAAAAAAATCAAGATTACTTTACCACCTTCCTATTTTGTCTTTATTATTCTTTAGAATGGTGATTCTTTTTCTGTAATATTGATGCATGTAAAATTTGTCGAACAATAACAAACGGACAATAACCAGACGCTGTCTTTTATATACTAATACGTACTAAATCTATTAATTTTAAACTGCTCTATCCAAATAAGGAAGAAGTTGGAAGTCATCGATTATGAGTTGAATGACATAATAAGATCCTAAAACATTAGATTTGTTATTACGCGCCTCGTAAAAAAACCTGATTGGCGTTGGGAAGCATAAAAAAAGGAAATTGAAAATAAAACCTAAAATTCCATTTGCACAATATTGAAAAAATGAATGAACTATTATCACAATAGTATCAAATACACATAACTTTAACATCACCATCGAAATATAAACAATTCCCCGAAGGAGAGCACAGGAAGACAAAAGGTCATATTAAATATTTTCTTCCACCGTCCTGACCATTTTTTCTTGTTTACGTGGGTGGCCGGGTAGGTAACTGAAGATTCCTTAATCTTCAAGAATTTAAGAATTCGTAAAGCCCCCCCCCTATTTGACTAAAAATTTTTTTTTCCATCTATATATCTCCCTAGACTTCCAAATGTAGGTCTACCATTAACAACGTTTGCTTGCACAACATTTACCAAATCCACTTATACAATACCACCCAGTTCAACTTTCCCTTTTCGTACTAATGCTATCGTTCGAACTAATCACGTCATTTAAAAAATTATTGACCTCTAAAAAATCGGTGATATTCATAAATAATTAACTAAATTAAGATTGAATGCAATAAATAAATAAATAAAAATAGATAATAGATAATGAATTAAATTAGAGTAATTGTCCATCATTCAGGTATTCAGGTAACAACAACAAACAACATTCAAGTTTTTTATTTTGATCACGCAAATAATAATAAATAAAAGATAGAGAGTTTTGTATTAAGTTGTCCATGGATTCTTAAATAATGTGTAGCTTGGGATTTTCATTCTTCAAATATTTTGAAATATTTTTGAAGATGGAAGACGAATATTCTAATGAAAGAAAAGAAAAACATGGCAGATGTTCAACATGTAATAGATATAATACTAATTACTCATGGTGTCAATCATGTGATCCACAATTATTAACTCGAGGCTGGACCAGTGGTAACGAAGCAATAGACGAGTTGATCAAAAGTTCACAACTTAAAGCAACACAGTATGGTAGTATTTATTATCTTGAATGGATTCCATATAATAGTTTAACAGATATTATGAAGATAGGTCAAGGTGGATTTGCAACTGTATATAAAGCTAAATGGACCAATGGTCTTAAATATATTGGGGAAGAAAATAAGAGATGTTGTGTAGATACAATTGTCGCTTTAAAAAGACTATATAATTCGCAAAACATTACAGATGATTTTTTGCAAGAGGTATATTATGTTGTTAAGTTTTTAGATATAGTTTAAAATATAAATAAACACTTTTAAATTTATTTTTTTTAGTTCAAAAATTATACAAAACTTCATACTAGAGTGGGTGTAGTTAGAACCTATGGGTTAACACAAGATCCGGAAACAAATGAATACGTTTTTGTAATGAAATATTTTGAAAGTGGGAGTCTTTGTGATTACATAAGAGAATCTAGGAATTTAAATTGGAAGCATAAAGTGAATTTGCTGTATGATATCATTTTCGGTTTATCGGCCATTCACGACAATAATCTCATTCATCATGATTTTCATAGTGGAAATATCCTTATTCAAAAGTACGATAATAAAATACGCTCGTGTATTTCGGATTTGGGGTTATCAGTTCCGGCTGATTACAGACCAATATCAGGCGAAACTGCTACAATTGGTGTATTAACGTATATTGCACCAGAAGTATTAAATGGTGCACTGTACACACCGAAATCTGATATTTATAGCTTTGGAGTAATAATGTCAGTGATATCAACGCAACAGCAACCGTTTAGTCATGTTGCACATGACACAGTTCTTGCAATAAAAATTTGTGAAGGAGTAAGGCCTGGATTTTCAAAAAATACTCCCGAAAATTATACTGAATTAGCATATAGGTGCATGGATGCTGACCCTAATCAACGTCCAACCGCTAGTGAAGTTAAGAGAATTATTTGGTTTTGGAAAGATTCGTTTGAGGACGATCTTAGTTCAGTTTATGTAAATGGTCATGGTTATTCTAAAGAAGAACTTAATGAATTGCCTTCAATTAGACAAATTTTTGAAAGTATGGATAAGATGGATTTCGGTTCTTCAACAATCACACCAACAATTCATCCAAATGCTGTCTACACCAGTAGCATACTACATTACACAAACCTTCCAGAACCTGTAAATTCAAATCATGTTCTAAATGTTGGTAACAATAATGGTAATTAGTATCAAATTTTTAATTATCAATTGATTTTTTTAACAGTTCAAAAGTTGACGTCAACATATTTTTTTTTAGATTCCCATCAAATTGAATTATTAATAACAGAGGAATTTTCTATATAAAAAAAAAATATAAAACGTTGTTATTTTATTTTATTATTATTAAATATTTGTATTTATTATTTTTTTACCAAAGCAAAAATTTTAAAATATTGCATATAAATAAAAAAAAGGATGCGAGCACAAAATATACAAAACAGTATAGTGTTACTATAGCAACCAATCTATTCCCCAAAGGGATTATGAAATTTATTATTCGAGAAAATCCCCAAAACTGATTTTGCTAATTTGACGAAAAAGAACCAAGACAATTAGTGACGGACGAGTATGCAGAAATGGAAAAAGAAAAAAAGCCACTGGTTCAGATGCTTTATCGGATATGGCTAACATTAGATTGATTAGTTATAAAAAGAGAAATGCAAACATAACGTAAATAATTTGTTACACAATTCAAATTAATCATGTGCAAAAAAATTTTTTGATTTATCATCAAAATTATGCCATATTATCGTCTTAAGGGTAATAAAATTTGCTGAGAGAACAAAACATCTTGTTAGATTGATTGATCATTATATGCTTTAGCAAATTTACACACTAGTAAAAATGAAATTAACAATCATCTCATCAAATACAAACTTTACTGTCTGAAATTATCATTATCATATTTATTATTATTATTATTATAGATCTCATAAAGGCCATTCGTGCCTGTAAGACTGCAGCTGATGAACGAACTGTCATACAAAAAGAGTCAGCAGCAATACGTACAAGTTTTAAAGAAGAAAATAATGATGCACGACATTCAAATGTGGCAAAACTACTTTACATTCATATGTTGGGTTATCCAGCTCACTTTGGTCAAATAGAATGTTTAAAACTGGTTGCTTCAAATAGATTTGCAGATAAAAGGCTCGGATATTTGGGAATAATGCTTTTATTGGATGAGAATCAAGAAGTATTGACTTTGGTTACTAATTCTTTGAAAAAGTAATAATAATAAATTTTTTTTGATATTACAATATATATAATATATATATATTAACTTTTTTAATTGTATGTTTTTAGTGATATGAACCATGCAAATATGTATGTTGTAGGATTAGCTTTATGTACTTTGGGTAATATATCATCACCAGAAATGGCACGTGATTTATGCACTGAAGTTGAGAAATTATTGAGCAACTTCAATACTTATATTAGAAAAAAGGTTTATACAAGAATAATGTTTTTTTGATGATTATAAAAGTTTTCCTTCCGTTATATATATATTAATTCATTGTTAATTTTTTAAAAAAGGCAGCGTTATGCGCAATGCGTATTATTCGTAAAGTCCCTGAATTGCAAGAAAATTTTATATCAAAAGCAAAATCCCTTCTAAATGATAGAAATCATGGAGTTTTGCTTACCGCCATAACTCTTATAATAGAAATGTGTTCAATCAATTCAGAAGCTTTACAAACATTTCGCAAGGTTTATAGTTAATTGATTAAGTAATTAATGATTAATTTACATATCTATATATTTAAATCAATGTTGATTATACATAATTTTAATATTGTTATTAGGCAGTTCCATTGTTGGTTCGACATTTAAAAACTTTGGTTTCTGTTGGATTTTCTCCTGAGCATGATGTTGGTGGTGTGGCTGATCCGTTTTTACAAATTAAAATATTAAAGCTTTTAAGAATTTTGGGTAATGGTGATTCTGAAGCTAGCGAGACAATGAATGATGTTTTGGCACAGGTTTTTTATGTTTCCTTATTATTACTATTATTATTATTATTATTATTATTACTGTTATTTTAATTAATAAATGAATTAATGACCATTAATTTGTTTAACAACACGTGCAAACTATTTAGGTTGCAACAAATACCGAGTCATCAAAAAATGCTGGAAATGCAATTTTATATGAGACTGTATTAACTATCATGGAAATTCAATCGGAGAGTGGTCTTCGTGTCTTAGCAATAAACATCCTAGGAAAATTTTTGACAAATAAAGATAACAATATTAGGTAAAAAAAAATTCTATTATGTACGCAGACAATAAAATTTTATTGGATTGTTGATTAATTAATTTATTTTATTTTAGATATGTCGCTCTTACTACATTAAATAAAACAGTGGCATTAGATACTAATGCAGTGCAACGACATAGAAATATAATACTTGATTGTTTACGTGATGCTGATATTTCAATTAGAAGGCGTGCATTAGAGTTAGCTTTTGCATTAATTAATGAGTCAAATGTTAGAGTTTTAACTCGTGAGTTGTTGGCATTTTTGGAGGTGGCTGATAATGAATTTAAACAAGGCATGACCACAAAGATTTGTTTGGCTACTGATAGGTAAAAATTAAATAAGTTTACTTCAAAAATAAATTGAAACTAAAAATAAAATTATTATTATTATATTTTAGATTTGCTCCTAATAAAAGGTGGCATATTGATACAGTATTACGAGTATTGAAATTAGTATGTTGATATTACCTTTATTCCAATAGTAATTATATATTTTTATGAGAGATTTTAAAAATTTTTTGAATTTTAATGATATAGGCAGGTAACTATGTCCGTGAAGAGATACTATCAAATTTCATTCGACTTGTCGCTCATACATCAGAATTGCATGCCTATACTGTACAGAGACTATATTCTGATTTAAAAGATGATATTTCTCAGGTAAATAATAATAATAACAATTATAATTAAAACATTCGAAAAAAATTTTAAATTTTGATATTGTATAGGAATCACTAACATTAGCTGGTGTTTGGATAATTGGGGAGTATGGTGATGTATTGATTAAAGGTGGTAATTTTGAAGAAGAAGGACTAGTAAAAGAGGTAACGTAATTTTTATTTGTTTGTATCGTTAAAAATGGCATTTATTTTATTTTTTCTAAAAATTTTTTGAATAATTTTAATATGGGAATTTTTTAAATACAGGTAACAGAGCCTGATGTTATTACTTTGATTGAATCAATTTTAGCTGGACCATATGCAAATCAAATCACCAGAGAATATTCGGTAACAGCATTGATGAAATTAACATCACGTTTCACAAATTCATCTGTCATCCAAACCATTAAATCTATAATTGAAAGATACAAATCCAGTATAGAAGTTGAGATACAACAACGTTCTGTTGAATATACTAACCTATTTGATTTTGATAATATTCGATCTGCCGTACTTGAAAGAATGCCTGTACCTGATTATAAAGAAGAATCTTCCACTTCACGTCCAGGTATTATTAATTTGCGCACATATTTTTTTTTGGATAATATTTTTTATTTGTTGATTCATTTTTATTGATTTTGGAATTATTTAGTTTATGACATAATATCTGATGAGAATAATGGTAGTGGAAGTGGAACAAATAGTGGTGATGTTAGTATTTCTCGCTACAGTATTATTATATATATATATATTTATATTATTTTGATTATTATATTTGCTAAAAAAAAATTTTCTCCTTTATAGATTCTTTTAGATTTTGAAAGTGAGGTAGTTGATAGTGGTAGTAATAAGCAAACAACTATGCCATCAACATCTCAAAATACAGCTGATGTTTTGGCTGATATCTTTTCGTCATCATCTACCACCACCACTACGACAACATCATCAACAGCACCTACAAAAGATGATATTATGAATTTATTTAATATTCAACAACCTGCGACAACAATATCATCACAAAAAAATATAATTCAACAACAACAACAGCCACAATTATCATCATCTTTAATAGATCCTTTGGATGGCTTACTAGGATTAGGAAGTAATACGTCAAATATTGCTTCGCAATCTATTAAATCAACGATATCGTCTGTTAAACCTGTTAGCTCTACTAATACTACTACTACTACTAGTAGTAGTAATATTGGTGGACTTGGTGGTATAGATGCATTTATCACAACAGAACTTGGTGGTCCAGGTGATTACATTAATAATATGATGATAATGATTATTTTTATACGATCACTTATTATAATATTATTCATTAATTCTAACAAAAATATCAATATCATAATTGTATTGTATTTTATATAAATATCTAGATCCATATGTGGCCTATAACAAAAATGGTTTTAAGATTACATTAAAACCATCTAAAAATATTGACAACCCAAATCTTCTTGATATTTTGGTTACGTTTTTGAACGTTGGAGTGGGATCGTCTGTTCAAAATCTTTTGTTCCAAGCTGCTGTTCCTAAAGTATGTTGTTTTTCTGTTTGCTTTAAATTTTTATTTTAGATATTAAATTTGATAAATGTTCTTTTTGGGGAAAATTATATAGACTCAAAAATTACAAATGCAACCACCTTCCGCAACAACAATTATACCTGGTTCATCAGCAACTCAATTAATTCGTGTTATGAATCCTGCAAAGGTCTGTCTTACTAAATAAATAAATAAATACATACATACTATTTTGTTCAATAAATAATTCTGGTTTTTAATATATTTATAATATCATATAGACAAATGTAAGATTAAGACTTAGAATCGTTTATCAAACATCAGCAGGTAGTAAAGTGGATGAAATTGCTGAATTTAATGAATTTCCACAAGAATTTTGGTAAACGAAAAAAGGTAGTATTATCATCACCTGATTATTTGTTTTCTTTACTTTTGCAATCTTAGTAAATTAGTTTGGTAATTTACTAGTTTGGTATGGTTATTTATTTATTTATTGCTGTTATATTTTTTTGATTTATTTTTATTACTTTTTTAATAATAAAAATAAACGAGATCCTACTTTTCAAAAATCATAAATAACAATAAGATTGAATCGTTTTGTAAGAAAATAATATTTTTTAGTGCTTGTATATGAAGTATTACTCTACCAATAGTTAATGATTGCCTTTAATTTATTTTTATCATCAAAGTAATTCATACAATGTTCGAAACATTTACTTGAATCTTTTTGGTTCAATAATAGCATATTAGGAATAATTAATCCTTTAATTATAAATATATGCATATAATAATATTGGGGCATGCTCAAGAAAACAGACCAAAGTGAACATTATTATTATGTCACAAAGGAGGTATACAAATTATTTATTAAATTTATATATAGTAATATCAATTATTATTTTTTTTTCTCTCAAAAAAAAAGGAGGATGATTATATAATAATATAATTTGGTCGTGTATCAGAGGATTCATTTACAATGTGTTTTATGCATCCAACGTGACCCAATTCAATTGCTTTAAAACTTCGATGCTAAATTTACATTTGAACGATAATAATGATTAAGTACCATATTTTTTCTTGAGCGAGGGAACTTTAAATAGATATATAGAAACGCACATGTATGTATCATGAATGTAATTAATTAAAGAAATAAAGAAAACAAAGCAAACACCAGACGTGAAGGAACAAAATAAAAAAAGATTTAGAATAAGCAAAACACGTGTAGACCAACGATTCTTCCTCATTGTTTTTGAGTATTTTTTATTTGAGTATTGTTTGGTAAGGATCGCATATATCATCAGGAAAAATCGAGATGGCATTTCATCTAACACCAAAATGTTATTACAACCAACAGCCAATTGTCTCATTTGAATTTGACTTTTCGATTATAACAATGGCTGATGTAGATAGTTATAGTGAATTTAGAAAGAACACGATGAAAGGGTCTTCACATTATTTTGGTTGAAAGATTATTTTCCTTACTGCCAAATTTAGATATGACGGTCGAGTATTGGTCTAAATTTAGTAAGGATATCGAAACTAGTCTAAATAGCGATGATCCTAGCACATGAACATATAGTAATAGTAAAGTACACGTTTTAAAAAAGAATAGAAACTCTACAACAAATAATTTTTTTGAGAAAATCTCTCTATTACATTATAAACTAAAGATCTATTCTATCATAAAAGGTGGGACGGAAAATGACTTCGATACTTTTAAAATTTGCACAAATTTACGAGGTCTTTAGGTTGGGCTAACTATAGATTAATATACGCATGTTTGGGAGCACAACATTTATAATTTTGATTTACATATCACCCAATGAGATGGTCCATCTAACAGAAGCGTGACGTATTCATATCACCTTTGTTAATCTTTATTTCTTTAATCTACAAATAGTTTTATCAAAATGTCTTTTGAATCCACTGAATCAATGAAACGTCTAGTAGAAGAGGCCTCACGAGTTGAATTTATACCTGGTGGAGCCTTAAAAATCTACTTTCGTTCCGCTAATTCCTTGTTAAGACAGGTTTTAATAAAATTTTTAGTATATATGTAGTTATAAAATTATTAAAAAGCAAATAGGACTTTGTTTTTAGATTTAATAAAATAACTTACTTGTATATCCAGGCAAAACGTTATAAAGAAGAAAATGATCTGATTAAGGCATATAAATTGTATATGCGATATGCCACGTATGGTTTTTTTTAAAATTTTATACAATTTTTAGTCATATGTTCATTTTATATTATGTTTATATTTATGTGTGTTTTAAATGCACATATATAAAGGCTAGCCTTAGAAAAATTACCCCAACATACAGACTACAAAAAACCAGAACATAAGGCAGGAAGACAAGAATTAGCAAAAGTAAAAAATCAAAAAAAAAAAAAATTGATCAGTTTTCATATTGACATTATTGTTTTAAAAAATGGAAACTTATTTTTTTATGAATAATTATGGTAGAATGCTAATTTAGCCTTGACAGAAATTCAAAATATGAAACCGATTTTAGATGATTATTTTCGTCAATTGGAAGCAGAAGCATCGAAGGGAGAACATGCAATAGATCATTCAAAAGTTCTTAAAACATCTGAACATTATAATAGAATGCAAAGGCAACAACAACTAAAACAAGAAGAGCAGCAGCAAATTAATTTAAGGCCAATTGATGATAGAGCAATTCCTCTGCCGGTTAATGACAAAACAGTGTCTCCGTCGATTAATGATAGAGCAGTTCCTCTGCCGATTAACAATAAAACAGATATTGGAGCATACAAAAATCATCCAAACTGGGATTTAATCAATGAATTAAAAGACATTGTTCCAGCTGATTCTTTGTAAGATATTATTCTATTTAGATTGTCATTGTCACTTATTTTGCATAAATAATATGAATAACGATATATATATATATATATATATTGATTAAAAGTGTTTATGATCAGAAAACAAATCATCATCATCATCAAGAAGTAATTATTAAATATTTATTATTTTTAATAATAATCAAATTTATTTATTTTCAATACACGAAAAAATTTTAATTATCATTATTGTTAATATTTTGAAAGCATCAAGTGAATTATCCTGGTATTTCATACAAAAATCAAAGTGATGGGTAAAAATCAAAAATCAAAAATGCTATATTTTATATATGTATATATATTAAATATATTTATATATCCAATTATATATATACCATAGATATACTTACCCTGTCTCCACTTTTGATAATGTTCATCCGCTAATACCACCAAAAATTAAAGAAGAACAACCTAAATTACCACCTAAACCGAACAAATATTTTAATGATTTATCACCAACACGTATATCACCGACACATTCACCGCCCAAATCTTCAGTAATGCCTATGCCTGAACCTAGAAATAAATATAGTTCTAATGAATACTTACCTGAAAGACCTATTAAAGAGAATGTACCTGGTATGTATTATTAATATTTCTTATTAATTAGTGCATCTATTTTTCTTATAAAAATTACTTAATTAAAAAATCTCTTTTTAGAGTATTTTGCTTTTACAGAGGGCGGAGAAGGATTAAGGACAATGATTATGCCAATTAACATATATGATAAGTTTATACAGATAGCAGCTTCAAATACCGCAAAAAATTTAGAAACTTGTGGTGTTTTATGTGGAAGATTGGTACTAAAATATATCCTACGTTTTTAAAAAAATTGCAAGTAATAATGATATTAATATATACACACGCACATATATATTTAATAGTCGCACAATTATTTCACAGTGACTTCACTAGTGATTCCAAAACAAACAGCCACATCCGATACATGTTCAATGACAAATGAAGAAGAATTATTGGAATATATTGAAGAAAATGACTTATTAATGCTCGGATGGATACATGTAAATAAAAAATTGATAATGAATAATGAATAAAGAAACTTCAAAATTAATCTTATATATTAATTTAAATATATTATACATATTTATTAGACTCACCCAACACAAACTTGTTTTATGAGTTCAATGGATTTACATACACATTCTGCCTATCAGCTAATATTACCTGAAGCAATAGCAATTGTGTGCGCTCCAAATAAATCACCAAAGTTTGTGTTTTTTCCTACTGTTGGAACTTTTTTATTGATAAAAAAAATATACATATATTATTCCTAATTAATCTTTTTTTAATAATTGCAGTATTGGAATATTTCGTTTAACTAATCCACCAGGGTTACAAACTGTGCTTCAATGCGAAAAGAGAGGTTTTCATCCACATGATTCTAGTGAAGAAATTGATGTAGTAAGTGTTTTTTTTTTTTGATAAATTAAATTTTCTATCTGTTATTATGGTGATAACAATAATATTGTTATTACATAGGAAATATCAAATTGTGGGCATGTAGTAATGGAAAAATTTGATTTAACTGTGGTTGATTTAAGATGAATGAATTAATATTTTTACCATATAGACGCTATAAAGAATTCGGAAATTATTTAAAAATCAAGATTTTTATTATTATTTCTCTTAATAATAATTGTATATAATAATAAATATATTTATTTAATTGAAAAGATGGAATATTATTAATCAATTTACCTCATGTTCCTGATATGTTACCCAAATTAAAGATTAAAAAAAAATTATTTTAATTAGTAACCATGTCACATGATTAAACGGTAAATCATAGATATTAATATTAATATTTAGATAAAAATCTTTTTTCCTAAATTTTTTTTAAAAATAATGGTTCGAAAAAGTAAGAGAGAATTTTAAATTATATATATATATAATAAATATAATATTTATCTAAGGAAAAGTTGAATTATTAATAAATATAAATATATATTTTTAATGGTAGAGGCTAAAAGTAAACGTATGACTTGTTCTAGACGTTACAGAATTGAGCACAAAATTGCCGAACATCGAAGAAAAGAAAGAAAAGAGGCTAAAAATAATCCTAAAAAACATAGTAATATAGATTTTCAATTATTTATATATTCTTTTTATAGAATAATCTATATAACAAATAAATAAATAAAATTTTTTTTTAAAGAATTAAAAAAAGATCCTGGAATTCCAAACTTATGGCCTTTAAAAGATCAGCTCTTGAATAAAATCGAACAGCATAAAAAAAAGGTACAAAAGCATTTCATATAAATTTTGCTTTTCTATATTATTAATGGTCTCTACTTAAAATTCTAATTCTAACTCTAATAATCCAGTTAGAAGATGAAAAAACACGACAAAAAAAAGCACGCGATACTTTATTCAATAAAAACCGTAATTTAGGTTTTTCATCAATTGCTGAAGATGCATCTAAGCGTAATGAAGCTTTTGATAATGGTGATTTAGAAATTGATGATAAAATGATAATAGAAGATGAAGATGGAGGAAATGAAGAAGATGAAGAGGCAGAGGAATTGGTAGCAGTGGAAGAAGATGGAGTGTCAACGTTGCTTGATGCAGCCGCAATTGGTAAAAAAGATAATACACAAAAAGCTTATTATAAAGCATTGCGTAGTGTAATTGATGCTGCTGACGTTATATTAGAAGTTTTGGATGCTCGTGATCCATTAGGATGTAGAGCAAAAGAAATTGAAGAAATGATTATTAATAATGTCTCTACAAAAAAAATTATTTTAGTTTTGAATAAAATAGGTATGTAAAGGAAATATGTATGTACATATATATATATATATATTAATATTGTCATTATAGATGTCTACAAACAATGATTAAATATATTTCTACACTATCTTTTTTATTATAGATTTAGTCCCACAGAAAAACCTTGCTCAATGGTTGGAATATCTTCGTAAAGAATATCCAACTATTGCATTCAAGTCATCTACACAAACACAACGTAAAAACCTTGGTCAATCATCTAAATCTGTTAACCTAACTTTAGACAACAACAACAACAATAATTTAAAATACAATAATGAATGTTTAGGAGCTGACACGCTTGTCAAGTTATTAAAAAATTATTCTCGAAATTTAGATATTAAAACTTCAATTACTGTTGGAGTAATTGGGTTTCCTAATGTTGGAAAATCTTCATTGATAAATTCGTTAAAGAGGGCTAAAGTTTGTGGTGTCGGTGCTAGTCCGGGTTCCACCAAATCAATGCAAGAAATTCACCTTGATAAAAATATAAAATTGTTGGATTGTCCTGGCATTGTGTTTACTAATAATGATCGATCAAAAAAAAATAAGTATGAGGAAATATTGTTAAGAAATTTTATTAAAATTGAATTATTGGATAATCCAATTCCACCTGGTAATTAGAAATTATGATTTATTTATTTTATTATGATTCTATTATTAACACTTAATATGTAAATTTACACACGCACACATGTACACACATGTATGTATCTATATATCAGTTGAATTGATTGTTTCCAGGTTTTCTAAACAACTTATGGCTCGATACAATGTTCCAATATTTAAAGATACAGATGAATTTCTTATATTTGTTGCTCGTCAAACTGGCAGATTGAAACGTGGCGGTATTCCAGATCTTGAATCTGCAGCAAAATTAGTTTTACAAGATTGGAATTCTGGTAAAATACCTTATTTTACCACACCACCCCCATCAATTAAATCTGACACAATTCTTGATACTCAAATTGTTTCTACATGGAGTAAAGAATTTACATTTTAAACAAAAACATACATAATAATAAAAACCAAAAATTATTTATGCGAAATTTTATTCTCCAAAGTTATAGATAAATATATAAATTGGAGTATTCATCATTAATAAATATCATTATCAGAATTTACCACATCAAAAGATAGATATGATATTAAGATCGTTAACGGAGAGGAAGATATACCGTTAGTATTATTGATGATGATGATGAAACAATTCCTGATGCTTGTAATGGGAAAAATGATGTGATTTTTCAAACTAGTCACAGCAAATTTATTCGCATGTCTTTTTTTTTCGTAAAGTTGAATCACTAGAATAAATTAATGGATTTTTATTAGGCAATGAAAATGCACTTGATTTTGTAGAAGCTTCTTTAAGAACCTCAAATGAATCTAGATTTGTTTAGCAACTGCTTCTATAAATTTAAATGATTCCATAAGTTGGTTTGTTGAGTCTATATTGCTCCATCCATCCTCACTACCTGAATTGTCTAATCACTTATATAATAAACATTTTCTTCGTTGCTTTCATTACTTTCATTTCCCATAACGTTTACAACAACATCTAAAGTATAAAATTTTGTTTATATAATTTAATATTCTTTTTTTTCAATTTGTGCTCTTGATCTTTTAATTAAACCTTGAAATTTCAGCCCGTAGTGCAGCAATTAGGGACGTGCACCATAGAAGTTGCATTTTCGGCTGCTTGCCTTTTATGTTGTTGACTAAATCTAGATATTCACGATTTAATTGTGGAAATAAGGAATATTTTCGTTGCTTTCAGCCAGCCTTTAAGTTTTTTTAACATATCCTCAACCAAATATTTTCTACTTTTTCAATATACTACCGGCTAAAAACATGGCTTTCTTACCATCTTTTTTCCATATTTTTGATTGCTTTTTAAAGCAAATTCAGATTTTCGTTTTTCGTTTTTCAAATCATCATTTTCATTTAGTAATGAAGAATAATCTTAAAATCACTAATTGATCCAATTTCTGGCGAGATCTAATTTTTTTTTCTCGAAATTTGAACCTTATTTAGGAACAGTTAACTTCTGAATCGATGAATCAATTTCTGAAGGAATACAGCTTTTCCATTCTGATTAAGGTATCATTTGGTTGGTGACTATTATTATATCATTTGGTTGATTAATATTATTAATATTATTCTTTTTCAAAAACTTTTAATATCAGTGACCTGAATATTTTTTTGGTTTTCCATATATATTAGGTATTTCATAGGCTACTATAAATCCTTCTTCGTCACCAGTTGGCCACACGAAAGTAGGGATTTCTCGAGTCTGGAGTTATTTTGGGATTTATTAACATTTACAATGTCTTTCTACTAGAAATGCTGCTAATTTGTATATCTAATTGACATTTTTTTACATCTATACCATTTTAATATTATTGTCAGAAAATATCTTGATCCATCTAATATTATCCCAACTGTTGTAATACAGTATCAAAAGCTAAGCATCCTGTTCACCATCATCGGACCAACAATCAAATGAAGAGAAATATTATTCTCATTTTTGAATACAGTTGTAGTATAATGCCTCTAATTTATAGGTACAGAGAACCTTTTATAAAAATAAATTTTACCCATTGAGCAATAACTGCTACAATCTGACCATTGACATTTGCTTCCAAAAATCACTCTATACCTACAAACTAATACAACTATATTCAAAAACGGGAATGATATCTCATTCTTTTTCATCTTTTCAAAAATATTTTTAATAGATTATAATAAAAATAAATACCTTCGTAACGTAACTAGTCCACACGAAAGAGAGATATATATTCCCAATTTTGAATAAAGTTGTAGTATAATATCTCCAGATAATTATAATAAAAAAGCCTTTTACATATTGAGTAAAGACTGTTGAAATATGGCCATGGTTTTTCATCATCGGCATTTGCTCATATATTTATAAAATTAGAATAATATCTCTTTTTTATGACTAGTTACATTTCGAAAATGCTTTGATTTAGAATCAAAGATTTCGTTAATTTTAGGCCTTCTATGGAATATTCGGGGTTTAAGAAATCCTTATTTCAATAACAGAAGAATATCTATATTCATATTTATCTGATTCGTGCCAGAGAATTATGCTACCAAATAACTCTAATGCAGGATGCCGTTCAAACGCTTTAACCTACGAAGATATCCAGGTATAGTTATGTTTGGTGAATACGTAAATTTCCTATTTCAAGGTCAAAAATGTGGGCGGAATAGCTGGTAGAATTGCAAAGCGCATTTTAATACTTTATGGAGGGCATTATCCCAAAGGGAGATTATAAATTGTCTTGAATATTACTTCAACCAATCTTAATCAACTCATCATTACACCATATTTAAAAAATCATTTATGCTCAAAATCCTGTTCTTGATTGATGCTTGATGCTGCTCTATAGGCAAGATCCAAGGAATTTAAAATTTTTGTTGACAGAAAAGGAATATTGGGAATGTGGTGATGAATATATATAAAAGAACATTGTTTTGGTAACATTTATAATAGAACTTGAGTTTATGATAAAGAAAAAAAATCTTGACTTTCCTCTATATATAATTATAACGTTTATATAAAATATTCTTTTTCTTGACAAGAAAAAGAAAGGGGAAGAAAAAGAAACAATAAGAAATTTTATTAAGCTTTTGCATATAAAATTAATTGATTTTAAATAATTATACAATACAGTAAATACACCAGTAATAGAAAGTTATTTAATAATATTATTCAAAATAATATTATTGACTATACCATTGCTTCTAATCAACATTCAATTAATTCAGGACCAACATATTTTACCATCATTTGCATGCTAACTATCTTGAAGTCTTTACCACCTTTGACCTTAACAACACCTTCGTCTCCATCGACACCAACAAGAACACCTAATTTATATTTGAGTTCATTATCGCATACTAATTTAATCATATCTTTCTTGTGTGGTGTGACAGGTTCTAAGAACCTTTTATTAACAATCAATGAAACATCTCTATCCACTAATTCAATTGTGATATCACCATTAGTTTCAACTTTCATAACTCTACCAGTCAAATCATTATAAATACCATTTTGGTAAACTTCTCCAGTATCTCTATCACTACTAACAGTTACAGCAACATCATCAATGAGCCAATGAGGAACTTTTGAATATAAAATAATAATTATATATATTTAGTTATATTGGAATAATAAAATAAATTATATTTAAAAAATATAACTTACTGTCAGCATTAGCATTATCATTATTATTCTGTTCAGTATTATCATTTGTTTCATTGTTGGTTTGTTGATTGCCATCACTATTGTTAGTTTGGTCATTTTCATTACTTTGATTATTACTATTGATATCAAATTGTAGTAAACTATTTGAAGCATAAGGAGTTTGTGGTAATAAAGCTGGTGTAAGTGGTCCAGGTCCAGGTGTTACAGGAGCTGGAGTATAAACAATAGGTGCTGGAGTGGCTGGCATTAAGTTTGTTGTAGTATTTCCTGGTGTTGAAGCAAAATATGTTCCTGGCGTTTCAACTACTGCTGGTGTTGGTGGATTAAATATTGGTGTCTCGGCTGCTGGAGTGGCTGCATAAAAATGAGGAGTTTCAGCTGCTGGAGTAGTTAGTGGAGCATTAGCATTCCATGCAGGAGTACGAGATCCATCATTATTTGCTGGCGTTTTACTACCAATATCCCATGCTGGTGTTTTTGATCCTTCAACGGCTCCATATGCTGGTGTTTTGCTGCCAAGATCCCAAGCTGGCGTTTTTGATCCTTCAGTATTACTATGAACTGCGGGTGTTCTAGATCCATCCATAATATGATGAGATGGAGTTCTAGAACCATCATTGATGTTGTTAGTTGATATGCTACCAGTGCTCCAAGTTGGTGTGTGTGAGCTAGACCATGAAGATGGTGTTCTTGTGCCCGAGTAGTTAGAAGAAGCTGGACTATAATCTCTATTTGAATGTGTTAGAGTATTTTCTTGTACAACTGGTCTAGTTTTACCACTTTTACTATAATAGTTGTTTATAAAGTATATTATTAGTACAGCTGCAATAAAAAAGATCAATATTATACAGATACTTACTCAATTATATGCAACAATTCCTTTTTAACATTAACTATTTGGCAATTAGTATGTAATTCAACTCTAGCAAATGTTTCAGTTGCCTCTTTTACAATGCCTAAATATCCTTTATAAGGACCTTGGATGATTGTGACAGTTTCACTGACCAAAGGATCTTTATATGATCGATTATAATAGTTAGTTTTACCGTATCCACCTCTACCACGGCTACCGCCATAATATGGATGATGTGGTTGTGGTTGTTGAGCAGGTTGAGTATGCTGTATTCCTATAAATACATCAGGATTCAACTTGTCAAGTGCTAGGTATTTCTAAAAAATTTTATTAAATATATTTACATATTTATATATTTACGTAAATAAAATCAGATTAATATTAATTTATACATACTGATCTAGCACTTTTATTTTCTAGTCTCCTCCAGCCTACAACGAAAACCCCGCCATTTTTAATTATTGAACGATTAATTAAAAAAGCAAATTGACGAAACAATTGAAGAATTTTTCCCTCGCGTCTCTATTTAAAATATTATCGAATCCAATGCAAATGAATGAATAAATAAATAACTAACATAAAATAAATGCTAAAATCTATATTTCTTACTTCTCCATCAATTTCACGAACATAATCTCCAACTTTTAAATCCTTCTCAAAAACAGATATAGGCTTTGATTCTTCTTTTTTGATTATTTGTGTATGACTAAGGCTTCTAACAATATTATCTGTTCCTATAATTCGGAATAAGTTTGACTCAATACCAATTATTACTCCTGCTTTAACATTTTCAATGCTATATATATGTGTGTGTGGGATTAAATTAACGGGTTATTTAGTAAATTGATTTAATCCTAAAAAGATAATTTTTTTACAAAAAAAAAGCTTACTTTATTAAAACCAAGTCATGAAGTTCATATTGGTAAGCAAGTCTTTTTGCATTTGTAATTTCTGATACTTTTTTTAGATCCTTTGAGAATGCAGTAATCTAATATTATAAAAAAAAAAAAACTAATAATTAATAATCAAATATATTAAATGTATTATTAAAATAATTAAAATTAAAATTGCAAACCTCAGATCTTGTCATATCAGACAAAATTGTGACAATACTTTTGTCAACATTAATCACCATTCCCATTTCATGTTGATTTTTACCATTTAAGACTTGGACATAATCGCCCACAACAAATCTTTTAGTCAATATTGAAATGTTGTAGGATACAGTTTTACCCATCATATTTACATTATCTGTACGTCTCACATTGATTTGTTCTTTGTTAATAAGCTCAACTACACCATAAACACCAGCATCTGCTCCACTTACGACAATAACTTCATCTCCTATTTGAAAATTTGTCTTAACCGGACCACCAAATGGTTCATCAGTATCTAAATATCAAAATTCTCATATATATTAATAAATATCTCAACTACTGTGGAAAGCAATAAGGTTTATTTTTAAAACAATACCATTTGATTCATTCGCAGACAAAAACTCTGTTATTTCATCCATACTTGGACTAACACCCTCCCAAATCTATTAATTTAATAATTGTTAGTAATAGGGGTTTTTTTAAAAAAAATCGATATTAAATAAATATTACTTTTGTTTATTTACCAAATTTGTTAATTTAAAATCAAGTTCTAAGTGGCCACGATTAAATATTTTAACTGTGTTTTCGCCAATTGCTCTTTTCCTTTTAAAAAGATTTCCAGTTGCACTTTTATCACTTTTATCATCTTTAACATCTATACGTGGAATAACTTTTACCTTTACATCATTATCTTCGTAAATACCAGTAACCTGAGAACAAAAATTATTTTTGTGAGCAAGAGCCTGGAGGAATAATAATAGCAATAATAACAAGTTTAATTTATAAATACAATACCTGTGCCAAGTCGCCAGCAAATTTTCCTTTTCTTATTTTTACCCATGATCCTTCTTTCAAATCCATTTGTGGTTTCTTAACGATTAAGACAGAGTTTCTTTCAGCTAATGGCACAAGTCTTACTTGCGATGTATAAAGATGAGGAATATTTTTTAATTCCTATAATATATAATGTATATAAATATTGATTATATATTGATTTAACAAATCTTTATAGTAAATATTTGTTTACAAACAAGAAAACTTGCCTTTTGCACATCAGTTATTCTCCATGCCTCAACATACACGTATCCTTTAAGTGCATCTCTGCAAGTAACAGACAACACTTTTATTGGATGCTGTGAATAAGCACGTTCCCGGTGAGCTTTTAAGAAATTTACAACAACATCCCTTTCTCTACCAATCTAGATATATACATATATGTGTGTATTATGAACGTATATGTAAGTATTGATTAATAGATAAACAAATTATCAAAATTTATTTCTTATTTTTTAATGATGAATATAATATTTACCCTGCACTTGACTACAAACATATTTGGTTGTTCGATACTAGCTAAATTATTTACTTGACTTGGAAGCTGTACACTATCTTCAGCAGCATCATGATGGCGACGTCCATATCTTTCGATGTATTTTTGAGCAAGTGCTTCAGCATCATTGTTTTCATCTTCTAATGCCCTAAGATCGAAATCATTTGTTACTTTCCTTGTGGATCTATAGATACTCGTGTCAGCTGGAATCTCTTCACGGTTATCAATAAATTCTATATAATAATAGTAAAATAATATTTTTTTAGAAAATGTACATTAATTAATTTAATTAATAATATCATAAGTACCCTTAGCGAGTATTGCATCTTCTTCATCCTCCTCCTCCTCTTCATCCTCGTCGACTTCTGCCTCATCTAAAACGAACATGCTCTTTTTCTCATCCTTACGACGTTTTTTATTCTGATTTAATATAGTATTTATTTAAATTGAGTACGATCGAATGAATTGTTGAATTAATATAGCAAAGGAACCAAAAGGTAAAATTTTACTCTTTTATTTGAGGAATATTCTTCTTCCTCTTCTTCTTCCTCTTCTTCTTCATCGTAATCTTCAACTTCTTGTTCTTCTTCCTCTTGTTCTTCCTCCTCATCCCAATTAGTATTATCTTTTTCAGTCTTTTCCTCTTCAGATGAGTAACTTCTTTTATTCGTCATTTTTTCAAGAAATAAATTTTTTTTGGTTTAGATCGTCCTATGTTTTTTTCCAAAATAAAACTTCCGATCGTGTAACCAATTGTAAATAATAAAAAAATTGTTTGGATCCGGTTTGAATTCGTAAACCGGTTTATCAATTATAATATTAATATTGATGTTAATAATAGGACCCCACAAACTACGTATATAGATAGGTTACTGCCGCAGCTGGGTCAAATCTTACCTTAAAATTTTACTACAGTGCGGATCATCTATACTCAAAAGTTAAAATTTTTGAAATATGGGGCATACTGCAACAAAATCAGACAAAGTGAACATTTGCATATCAAGGATTTCAGGGATCAATATTGTTTTTTATAGTGTTTGTATTCATGATATTCAAATATCAATCACATGAATGATATTTGAATATTGTCCAAACAATTTTGAATGAATATAAACACTACTCATGAGGAGCTTTAAACCAGTCATACATTGTTTTTCACCATGCAACTA